GCTGAGTCACTGAGAGACATTAACTTTGCTCCTGAGTACCTGCTGAGTCACTGAGTGTCATTAACTGTGTTCTTGAGTATCTGCTGAGTCACTGGGAGTCATTAACTGTTCCTGAGTACCTGCTGAGTCACTGAGAGTCATTAACTGTGTTCTTGAGTATCTGCTGAGTCACTGGGAGTCATTAACTGTTCCTGAGTACCTGCTGAGTCACTGAGAGTCATTAACTGTGTTCTTGAGTATCTGCTGAGTCACTGGGAGTCATTAACTGTTCCTGAGTACCTGCTGAGTCACTGAGAGTCATTAACTGTGTTCTTGATTATCTGCTGAGTCACTGGGAGTCATTGTTCCTGAGTACCTGGTGAGTTCACTGTGAGTCTCTGAGTTATTGTTGGCCTTTAACTGTAGTCCTGAGTAAGTCACTAACCTTTTGTTTATTTATATTGATATTGAAACAGTTTATTTAGCCACAAGAGCAGATAGAGTCGATTAAAAATCCTGATATTAACATGGCTAAGCCAGTTGAGAGCCTGAGCTCTCTTGGAGGCGCCTGATATACTATACTGTACATTTATCTCATGGAAGTATTATGTAACATTTAGTATCATCTGGAATAGTACAATAGCATGGTGGTAATAAGAATGTCTCATAATGTTACCACGGTTAATACTTCGACATTAATTCATTTAATTTATTTAATTATTTCATTTTTTTTACATTTATATTATAAGTATATACATAATTTACAGTGGAATTGAAAAACGTACATATGATAAGGGAGGCAAGCAGTACAACATGGGTTGTATTAAGGTGAAACAAGACGACAGAGCTGTCAGGATTGTCTAGTTGGCAAATATATTTATTGCAATGGTAATTTCTATCTATCTACATGACAATTTTTGGTAAAACGGAATTAGTGGTACAATACAATCAGGTATATAAAGTAGGTATTAAAAAAATTATTAATACTTAAACAATAGATATTTTTTAAGAGATGATAATTTCAAAGGAAGGGAGCGTAGTCTTTGCTCGGGTGGGTGGGGGTAAGTTGTTCCACACCTTCACACCGTGACATTTTATGGAGGTCTGGGACTGAGAGGAGCCAAGGGGGTGGTCTTAGTAGCTCTGGGTGTCTTAAGTTGTATCTCTGATTATTCCGGAACTGGAAATAATTATTGTCAAGCAAGTGATTGACTTATTTGTAAACAAATAGGGCACAGCAGTAGGTATTAATATCCTCGAATTTTAACATTTTCAATTTAGCAAATTGTTCGTTTGCGTGATCAGTTTTTTCAAGTAGGTCACTGTCTGCACAACTCTCTTTTATGCAGTAACCAGGGATTGTGTTTTTGAAGAGCCAGAGGCCCCCCATAGTGTGCGGCAGTGTATCAGGTGCTGGTAAACAAGATCATAATAGATTTCTTTCATTGCTGTGAGAGTGAGTGACTGTCGAGTGTGATACATGATACCGCACTGTTTATTGACTTTATTGTGGATGGCTTGTATGTGGTTTCTCCAGTTAAGTTTCTCATCAACAATAACCTGTATAAGATGGTGCCAGCAGTGTATACAATGTTGGCATCAGTGTACACAGTATTGGAAGCAATAGTGTACACAACGTTTTCAGCAGTGAACAGTGTTGCAAACATCAGTAACCACAACACCTCTTAGGGCTCTGTGTACCCGTGGGCACCATCGGTAGTGTTCGGGGTGGCGTCAGTGGTGGCGGGTGTGGCAACACTGGCGCTGCCGGAGACCCTCGGAACCGCTCTCCCAGACACCATCGCTCACCTGGAGGACAAAGTACTACCGGAGAGCAGCAGGTGAGTGTGTCACTATATAAGATTACGGTAGACAGTGTTGAGTGGAGTACATATGACAGTGTTTACGAGTAATAACATACTAAACACTGTACTGGACTCCAGGAATAAGGCAACACTATCATCCTACACTAACACAATCATCCAACACTCATCCAACACTAACACTAACACTATCATCCAACACTATCATCCAACACTATCATCCAACACTAACATTAACACTATCATCCAACACTATCATCCAACTCTAACACTAACACTATCATCCAACACTAACACTAACACTATCATCCGACACTAACACTCACCCATCATCAACAAGACCACCATACCCAAAATTAAAATATCTTATTCCATACGATAGCTTACTTGTTTTGTCTTAGAAATTAGCTACTAGAATAGTTTAAAAGATTACTATACTAATAATTACGAACAGGTAGAATAGTTAACTATCACAGGTAAACTATCTTAATAAGGATGTGTTTATTGTGTTCTTCCTACAGAAACTTGTTGCGGTTGTTGACTAGAGACGCAGGCAAATGTGTGTCACGAGACGCCTCCAGTACACAGCATCTACACTTAAGTCACCTACACCCAAATTATCCACCTACACCACGCAAACACTCATATTATCCATCTGCATCCCATCAACACACTCCCAGCCTTACTACATCCCATCAACACACTCCCAGCCTTACTACACCCCATCAACACACTCCCAGCCTTACTACACCCCATCAACACACTCCCAGCCTTACTACACCCCATCAACACACTCCCAGCCTTACTACATCCCATCAACACACTCCCAGCCTTACTACACCCCATCAACACACACCCAGCCTTACTACACCCCATCAACACACACCCAGCCTTACTACACCCCAACAACACATAACCTACCCTCTTGCACACTGTTACCACTCAAAACACACATCCCCCCAGTGATGTAGAGGGTGTGGGGATGTGGGAAGGTGGGGGGTGTGGGAGGGTGTGGGGGTGTGGGAGAGTGTGGGGGTGTGGGAGGGTGTAGGGGCTTATGGTTACATATTTCTCAAATGGGATTCTAAAAATTTCCTAATGTTTTTTTTTTCTCCTTAACTGAAGATAAAAGAAAGTACTTAATTACGCCATAAACTTGCTGTAAACTTAATGGTAATCTGTCAGCTGTGGAACGTAAGTGATCACACGATGATAAGCCAACCCAGCTTGTTTCACCTGATGCTTAAACACCCTAATGCTACCTGGGGGAGTTAGGTTAGGTAAGGGTTGTTCATCCTGAGGAGAAATGAACTAGGGTTGGGGGGTTAATCTTCAGGTGATCCAACGTAAGAATTAGTCGCTTTATGTGTCCAGGTATAAGGAAAAGTTACCATATTAATCTGTGATATGTTGACAGGAGAAGTTGATGTATTTGTGTGGTCTTTATAAAGTAATTCAATAACAATAAAATATCTACAACAACAGTGTAGTTTTATTTTATACTGATGCTGTGAGTATACTGGAGGACATGAGATGAGTATATGCCTCACAGGTGTGTTCACTGAGGGAAGGTGTAGCTGAGTATGAGTGAAAGTTTATACTCACCCCAAACTTCTCTCCATATTATCAAAACATAATAATAGTTGTGAGATAAGTTTACACTGTGGGCATCTCATCATCATACACTGTTAATATTCAGTGTATCTAAAACTCTTTGATCTCGGGGTTGAAGGTTGACCACAAGAGTAAGTATACTGTTTATCATCACACGGGTTGATAGAGGGACACTGGACCTGGCCCGTGTTCTCTTCACATATGTTAGTGGCAGAGTTGAACACCAAGTTCTCGTTAGGACAACAGATAGGGCCGGCTAGGATTGTAGTAGAGGAACACACGTGGAAGGCATTACACATTACGGGATCCATGACGGCAGAAACATCACCTGGACATTTAGGTGTGTCTGGAAGCTGGATGTCTGTCTTGGCAACACACATCTGTTTAGTGCTGTCGTACACAGTGTCTTTGTCAGTACACTTTTTTTTCCCTCCACATTAAAAGAATATTTATTGGAGAAGAAAAACGTAATAATTACTTTATTTATTTATTTATGTATCTATTTATTCATTTTATGACCAAACTATTAATTTTCTTGATCAATATCATCTTTAAAATTTGAGTACAAACAGAATGTTTTCTCTAGCCAGATAATTTAAATACATCCAACATAACTTAAAACACAACTTAATTATTAGATCTATATGCTATAATATTTTTCACAGAGTTAAATGAATCACCTGAGAAAGGAACCAATCATAACTAAATAAGTTAGATTTTTATTTATCTTTGAAATATTTCTTCCTCCACCTAACAATGAGTCATTAATAACTCACAAAACTCTTTATTAAATATGAAGTTCACAAATTTTATTTAAATCTTTGGGAATTACAAAAAAATCAGTTTGTCTCCTGCGCGCGCGCGCGCGTGTGTGTGTGTGTGTGTGTGTGTGTGTGTGTGTGTGTGTGTGTGTGTGTGTGTGTGTGTGTGTGATTACGTCTGGGTATATTTTTGAACAGAATATCTACGTTTCCTTCAGTGTGTAGTGTGGTGTACTGAAGTGTAGTGTAGTGTACAGTACTTGGACCTATGGATAAGTGTAGATCGAAAAGACACTCACTCAGAAAGCATCTGTGTCCTGTTACACTTGTAAGTGTACTCTTGATCATCACACGGGTTGATGGAGGGACACTCCACTTGTTCAGTGTTCTCCTCACATATCATGGAGTCCACATTGAACACCTGACCTTCAACGGGGCAGCAGATGGGGCCACTGATAACGGTTCCCTCTTGACACAGATGGAAGGCGTTGCACTCTAAACTGTCCAGAGCTGCAACCAGATCCCCAGACGGACACGTGGGCTCTGGACTAACCTGGATCGTCGTCTTGTTAACGCATTCCAGTGAAGCGGTGTCAAACACGAAATCTGTCTCAGTACACTTAGTAAGGCCAGCTGCTGTGTATCCCCCCGAGCCGTCAGGAATACAGCTGTAGTGGCTGGTGCAGGAGGGCAACACGGGGAAGAATCCAGTCTGGAGGAACATTGACCCCACTATTAGCTAACATAATGATAATAATAATGACAATAATTGAATTACTCATAAATTGTACTTAATATTTTGTGACAAATATGGTCTTTCAGGTTAATAATGTGTAAGACAACTTCTTGTCTCTCTCAGTACCTCAACATCCCGACCATTATTTACAGACACACACACCTCCACTCACCCTATTACACTCAAGAGGTGGTTGTTTCTCACAACACGAAGTCTTTACGTTGAACGCCTTGCCTTCAGGACAAGTCAAGTTCGTCTGGGAGCCTTCACCCACACACATGATGTATTTCTGAGTATTGAAGGGGTCCGCCATAAAGCCCCGGGAACTCGTGCACTTACACTCCTTCAGTTGTTCATTTTCAAGAGTAAAACAACCTCCTGGGCTGCTGCACCACTGTACCGCCGTGTTGGAGCATCAGGCAGTCGTGTTGGAGCACCAGATAACACATTAATACCGTGGCGGGAAATGGAAAGAAAGGTATTTAGTATCAATCGCTATTGTAATACATACATTCATACATACATACATACATACATACATACATACATACATACACACATACATAGGATACAGTCACTCACCTGGTCTGGGGGACAACTGAATTCCATATGCATCTTGTCGTTGGAGCAGTAGGCCAAAGTATTGCAGCTGGAACACTGAAACCCATCCCCGGAGCATATGAACTCACCGTCCACCAGATGTCCTACCACAACCTAGGACGATATCCAGATTATTATGATGTTATCTCCCTATCTCTCTCTCGTCTACATTTACCATGACTTTCACACACAACCACAGCCTACTAAGGCTTCGGTACGCAAGGAGGCAGCGTGGTCGACAAAGCACTCTAACCACTCCACTTCCCGTAGCTGCACATTTACAGCTGTTAGGCTGGGAGCGCCCCGAGATCGATCGGGGCGCTGTAACCACCCGACCATCATAATATGCATCAAAATCCTATCCTCTCGCAGGTATAAAACCGACTTAAGTGAATGAAGAGGACAAAATAAAGTAACGATATTGGAAGAAGGTGCAACAAACAAAACGTTAGCTTCTGAAACAAAGGAAACACAATTAGATAGTCATTGATATGAAGAACACGTTATATAACTCCTTAAAGCAACTACTCCATATCCCAAGAACACTAGAGGGAATAACATAATAGGATGTAAAGTAAGATAGAGACCATAACAAACATAACAGAGTGTCGCGAGTTGGTGAAAACAGTTGAGTTAGACCTACGGTGAGCAGTGTTAGAAGTTGACGAGACCAAGTCATCATCTCTGGCAACTTTCAGGTGGCTACTGACGATTTTATTCCGGTGCTCTCTCTACACTGGCCTGTCTGTGAGGATGATAAGCATGACAATATATTTATCACAGATGTCACTAAACTCAGTCTGTTATTGTAGACTTGATGGATCACCTGGAGAGTAGTCCCCCAGCTTATTTCACCTGAGGATTAACCATCCTAATGCTACTTGATGGGGCTAGGTTAGGTTAAGATATGCTAGGTTAGGTATGTTTACATTAGATTAAGTTAAACTGGACTTAGGCTAGTTTAAGTTTGGGTACATTAAGTTCGGTTAGGTTAAGGCTAGTTTAAGTTTGGTTACATTAGGTTGGGTTAGGTTTGCGCTAGGTTAGGTTAGTTACATTAGGTTAGGTTAGGTTCGATTAAGGTATTTAATCACCAAGTGAATTAAGCTGAAGTGTCTAAGCTTTTGGTGCATTTTCACTATCGTCACTAAATATATATTACAGGAATCGTTACCATAGGTTAGTTATGATTTTATGATTTTTCACATGTGTGACAATATGATAATGGATGTTTAGTCACATTAAATTTTGCGTGTACACATTAAAGACACGCATTTCTACCGCCTTATATTTTTTATGATGGCGTGTGGCGTCGCTTCGAATGAAAGAGCCACGAGCCCACGATAGACAAGCTTCACTAGACACAACCCAATTTCTCCAACCAGCTAACCTATAACTACATCTATCACTACACTACAGCTAAATAAAATCAATATTATAAGTGCACAGTTAACTATTGGTTTGACAACTGCAAGACGCCTGATCAACACATAAATCAAGGTATATAATTCAAGACACAATGCAATGTTTACGCCGTATTGAAACGATAACTAACATCCGGCTTTGTCCTGATTTGCCTTGGGTCAGGATAAAGTGGGTTTTTTTTTCTTAATTTGTGGATGATGAAACACTCACCTCCCTGGACGATGACGTGGTACTGTGGTAGTGTGGGAAGGTGTCCAGCCACCACACCTTATATACTCTTTCTCACGCCACATGATACACTTATACACTACATACACATATCTGTACACACAAGAACTTGCATATATCATATTATATAATCTATACCCAATTACCAATCGTATATTGACAAATTTAGACATTTATTCAGATAGATAAAAGTATTGCAGGTAGAGGCGTCACAGAAGGCGTCTCATCAGCTGTGTTTACGTCCAATATTTAGAAATATATTCCCCTCAATACCAGCTAATGAGAAGACGAGATTGTTTTCCTTCAGCCAATAGCCAGCCACCTGAAGTTGTACACAAATCTCAAGGTGGGTCTTCATTAACTGTATTTCATCCGATAGAAAGATTTATTTTAATGAATTTTCTAATGTAAATCATCCGTGGAAAAGATTTAGTGGGGCAGAGAGAGACTTCCTTACCCAGTGAAGCAGTTGGTCATTAACTCGTAATTGTTACAGATGCAGCTGATAATACAGCGGTGTGAATAAGTAATATCACATAACTTTATTTGTAATTAAATTGAATTTGTATACATGTTATAGTTAACACACACACACCAGGGCGCCACTAGCTATATACCAAAATGATAGTGGCCGGGCCCTCCAGTTCAACTCTGCCATTTTGGCCCCAGTTGGGTTCTTTTCTGCACTAGTTTCCAAATGTTGCCTGCATATATAAAAATTTTGGTAGAAAGATTAAGGTGGCTGGTGATCTAGCATGGCCTGACCACCATAACACGATTATAACCCTTCACATATACAGATGTAAACCTCACGGATACAAGGCTGACGCCTAATGTCTCACTTCTTGTATCTTCATTTGGTTGGGGCCCAGCAGAAAACATGAGGAGCGTGCCAGTACCTAACGACGCCCCTAACGCACACACAGTTAGGTAATAAATTATAAAGATAATTAATTGAAAGATAAGTCAAGTACAGAATATATAAATCGGGTTAATCATAAAAAGTCAATTAAGTTTACTTTATTCTCTCCACCACTGATCGGCTCGTTAGCCACAAGGTCACGTCTCTGTTAAACACTTGGCAAGTACTAGGCATGCAATGGCTCCTGAATGTATCTGAAACCGCTCCAGTTGTGGTCAAGTCATGTCCCGAATGAGCTCACACTCGGGGCCGCCACAACACTGACAGGTTTATTACAATAGCTCACAACTCTCACTCCAAAAAAGTTTGCCCTCACAATTTTCTGAACGTGCGGACATCTGCCAGCTACAAGTATGAACATTGCGTGAATCTCTCTCTCTCTCTCTCTCTCTCTCTCTCTCTCTCTCTCTCCCTCTTCAAATGACAATACAATTTACCCAAGAAGTTCATAAAATGGATATAAAAAAGCTCTATGTCCATTTTTTTTATTTATTAAAACGCGTGGTTTATAGTTACACTTTAACAGCGGTTTAAGACATCACCGCAGATTCAGACCAGACCTTACCACACCATGAGATATCCACACTGTTCCAGGCCTTACCACACCATGTCAAGTCATGGTGTGGTTTTTACAATTTGGGTTACCGTTGTGGTCGTAGGGGTTGTAACTGGTTGTAGTTGTAAAAGTCGTGGTTGTGGTTGTGGATGAAGTTATTGCAGTTGTGGTGGCCGTGGTTGTGGTAGTCATGGTTGCAGTTGTGGTTGTCGTGGTAGTCTTGGTTATGGTGGTCGCAGTTGTGGTAAACGAGATTGTAGTTATGGCTGTTTTAGATCAAAGAATACTGGTGTGTCGGTTGTGGTAGTCAGTGTTTGGTAGTGTGGTGGTGGAGGTACTGGAGCTCTTGGGGTGGTTGTTTTGAAGCTTTGGTTGGAAGCCTTAAGAAACCTCTGAAACGAAGAAGAAAAACACATTACCATTATAAACATTACTGATGGTAGTTGAGTTGAATACGTCTGGCAGCCAAAACTAATGGAAAACTTATTGTACTGGAGGATCATGAATAATTAATAATGTTCACATAACGATAGATGCTGCTCATTTACATTAATGTGAAAATTTCTCTCTCTCTCTCTCTCTCTCTCTCTCTCTCTCTCTCTCACCTGTATTCATCATCGTCGCGTCTGTTCTCCAGTTGAGCGATCGTGTCTGGCAGCACGGCGTCGAGGGTCTCCGGCAGCGCCAGTGTTGCCACACCCGCCACCACTGACGATACCCCGAACATCACCGATGGTGCCCACGGGTACACAGAGCCCTGAGAGGTGTTGTGTTTACTGGTGCTGGCAACATTCTATGCAGGTTATGAGTTCTATAAACAAAAAGTTAGGGACTCAGGACTACAGTTAAAGGTTAACGATGACTCAGTGACTCAGTGGGTACTCAGGAACACAGTTTATGACTGACAGTGACTCAGCAGCACAGTTAATGACTCACAGTGACTCAGTGGGTACTCAGGAACACAGTTTATGACTGACAGTGACTCATCACGGACTCAGGACTACAGTTAATGACTCACAGTGACTCAGTAGGTACTCAGGAACACAGTTAATGACTCACAGTGACTCAGTAGGTACTCAGGAACACAGTTAATGACTCACAGTGACTCAGCAGCACAGTTAATGACTCACAGTGACCCATCAGGTACTCAGGAACACAGTTAATGACTCACAGTGACTCATCAGGTACTCAGGAACACAGTTAATGACTCACAGTAACTCATCAGGCACTCAGGAACACAGTTAATGACTCCCAGTGACTCACCAGGTACTCGGTGATGAAGGGGGAGGCCATGGAGCCGACGCGAGACATCATGAAGGCAGTGCTCGCCCCTCGGGTCCTCACCTCCGTCGGGAACAGCTCGGAGGCCTGGAGGTTCAGAACTTGAAACGCCACACTAATCGTTACCTTCCCAGCCATAGCCAGACTCATCACCACCCACCCGCCACCTGCAGAGTAGGTTAGGTTAGGTTAGGTTTGGTTTAGGTTAGTTTAGTTTGGTTGTTAAGTTTGATTTGGTTAGGTTAGGTTAGGTGGATTAGGTTAGGTATGGTTAGGTTATGTTAGGTTAGGTTAAGTATGGTTAGGTTAGTAATGGTTTGGTTTGGCTTAGGTTAGGTATGATTAGGTTGGGAATGGTTTCATTTAGGTATGGTTAGGTTATGTTAGGTTAGGTTAGTAATGGTTTGGTTTGGTTAGGTTTGGTCACACTCACCAGAGGGCAAGACGGTCAAAGCCAACAGCACTACAGCACTCAACAGGTAACCGGTCGCTAAGGGCAGCCGACGACCACAGCGAGCCACTACCGGGGCCATGAGGGTGTAGGCGGGCAGCTCCATGACCCCTGTGAGGACCATGTAGGTGAAGACGTCGCTGGTGTAGTGGTCTCCGCTCAGTGACAACCCGAAGTAGACCATCCCCACCACCAGGTAGTCCACGAAGGTCACCATGCTGATGACCCTTAGTCTTGGGGTCCTGGGGGAGGGGCAGAGTGAGAGGGATATGATGTAGTGAGAGGGATGTGCTGTAATGAGAGGGATGTGCTGTAGTGAGAGGAATGTGCTGTAGTGAGGGGTGTGTTGTAGTGAGAGGGATGTGCTGTAGTGAGAGGGATGTGATGAAGTGAGAGGGATGTGCTGAAGTGAGAGGGATGTGCTGTAGTGAGAGGGATGTGCTGTAGTGAGAGGGATGTGATGAAGTGAGAGGGATGTGCTGTAGTGAGAGGGATATGATGAAGTGAGAGGGATGTGCTGTAGTGAGAGGGGCGTCTTAGGGGAGAGGGACGTCCTGCAGTGATAGGGCGTCTTAGGTGAGAGGGGCGTCCTGCAGTGAGAGGGGCGTCTTAGGGGAGAGGGACGTCCTGCAGTGAGAGAAGAGGGTTTAAGACTCACCTGAAGAGTATGAAAACGTTGGAAAGCTTGCGCTTGAGTGATGACCCTTCCTGGTTGTCCTTGACCCCCCTGATGACCTGTGAGGACAAGGTCAGGTGAGGTATGGTATAGTAAATGATATAATCTCTCTCTCTCTCACTCTCTCTCTCTCTCTCTCTCTCTCTCTCTCTCTCTCTCAGTGCTTTGCTTCATAAAGTTTAATTCGGTTATGTAAGGTTAAGTTACATTAGGTCAAGCTTAGTTAGGTCAAGGGCAGGTCAAATTAGGCTAAGGTTAGCTCAAGGTAAGCTAAAACTAAATTAGGTTAGGTCATGTTATGTTAAGGCTAGGTTTGGATTAGGCTATAGTTAGATTACTTTAGCTTATGCCAGGTTAGGCCAAAGCTAGATATATTCAGCTCAAGTCAGATTAGGTGAGGGAGGATTGGCTTACCTCGTGTTGGTTATCCTGTAGAATAAGGAGTAGTCTGGGGTCAGGAGGGAGCGCCGCTTTGTTCCATCTAGCAGCTCTCTTCAACACTGCCAGCGCCTCTTGGTAGCGGCCCCGTACACTCAGCCACCGCGGAGACTCGTCCATAAACCTACAAAGTGTCGTTTTGTTTACGTACATAATCATGATGCAGAGAATAATAATAATAATAATAGTAATGGGATAATAATAATAATAATAATAATAATAATAATAATAATAATAATAATAATAATAATAATAATAATAATAACAGACCAGACAGCAGGCAGCAGAAGGAACCATGGTAAGGACACTGCCAGTTGCAACCACCGCCACTCTCTCAGCAGGTAAGCCGCGCCCCCCCAAGCCATCGTGCCCAGTGCCCAGGGTAAGTACACTGTGATACCCAATACTGATCTGACGTTCGGGGACGACATCTCCATCGCTGTGGCAGGATAGATAGTTATATAAGTAAATAGATTTATAAGTAGATAAATAGAACAAAAGTAAATAGGTAGATAAGTAAATACACACACACACACCAGCGACCCAGATCACACAAGTATACTGAATATATCCACGCAACTTACCCAGAATGAACCCAGTTTTCAGTATGGTGGCGTGTGTCGTGCCTAGTATGAACCTGGACAATAGGAGGAGGGTGAAGCCCGGTAGCCATGAGGAGACCACGGACAGTATAGTATAGATCACGTACGCTATCCCGAGTGTTCTCTTGCGTCCGTACCTGTGAAGAATTGTGGTGGTTACTGGTGGTGGTGTTTAGTGTGGTGGTGGTAGTTAGTGTGGTGGTAATTGATTTAAAACTACCACTTAACACTCACTTATCACTACCACTTAACTCACTTATCACTAACACTTAACTCACTTATCACTATCACTTATCACTACCACTTAACACTACCACTTAACACTCACTTATCACTACCACTTAACTCACTTATCACTACCACTTAACTCACTTATCACTACCACTTATCACTCACTTATCACTACCACTTACACTACCACTTATCACTCACTTATCACTACCACTTATCACTACCACTTAACACTACCACTTATCACTACCACTTAACACTACCACTTAACACTACCACTTATCACTCACTTATCACTACCACTTATCACTACCACTTAACACTACCACTTATCACTCACTTATCACTACCACTTATCACTACCACTTAACACTACCACTTATCACTACCACTTATCACTACCACTTATCACTACCACTTAACACTACCACTTATCACTACCACTTATCACTACCACTTTACATTACCACTTAACACTCAAATATCTCTACCACCTAACTTTACCACTTAACACTACCAAACTTCACCATTTAACACTACTTAACTACCACTTAAGACACTTACCTGTCAGCCAGTAAGCCGTTAAGTGGCGCTCCAACAAACACTCCCAACATGTAAATGCTCTGATAAGTGGCTCTTAAGTACTCCCACTCACACACCAGCGAGAAGACAGGTGTGTAAGAGTAATTGATAATCATTAATTAGACAGGTGTGTAAGAGTAATTGATAATCATTAATTAGACAGGTGTGTAAGAGTAATTGATAATCATTAATTGGACAGGTGTGTAAGAGTAATTGATTATCATTAATTGGACAGGTGTGGCATGATAACCATTAATTGGACAGATGTGTAAGAGTACTTTATCATAAATTGGACAGGTGTAAAATATTAATTAATGAGTACTGTACACACGAGGGTGGACTGCACTCAGGTAACACTTTTACATCTCTTAAATAGTGTACAGTTGTAGTCCAGGTGTTGAAATATTAACTTATTACTAGAGGTATTAGTTTACAGAGGTGTTTAAACAGTAGGTGAGTTAATGTGTCTGTTTGTCTGTCTTTCCGTGTCTGTCTGTCTATTTGTGGTTCGTCTATCTGTGATTCTGTCTTTCTGTGTGTTCGTCTGTCTGTGTGGGTCTATCTGTTTGTCTGTTTTCCTGTGTGTCCAAGTGTAAGTGTGTGTGTGTGTGTGTGTGTGCACAGGGTTGTGTAATGCGTCTAGTGTAGCAACATATATTAGTGTTAAGGTGCAAACACTGCTTTCACCCACCGCCGCTGGCTAGCACCTCGGGTGAACGGGGAAGCAACTTGCATAAGCCCTCCTCTGCCAGTACACACTCACAGCCTCTTCACCATCAACACTCCTGCTGTGCTTCCTCGTGGCAAGACACGGTAACTGGGGGCCTCTTGGGCCCAGGCTAGACCAGCAGTGGACCCCAGAGGGATAGCACATAGACCCACTGGCCTGTGGACACGTCCTGGCGCCTACCAACCATTTCCCAGCTGCCTTGCAGATTAACCTTGGAAGGTATAATAAGGCTACGGAAGTAAACCCCGAACGAAAAATCTGCGGTAGAGCCCAGCATCAGGCAGACATGCTTACAGAGCTCCAACAAGACCCTACGGCGGTATAGGCGGAAGAGGTGACCAACATGGGAACCCAACGACCTACTCCTCCTCAGCCAGTGTGCTGCACACAACCTCACTATCACCAATAGCTTGTTTAGGCAGGCTGACAAGTTCAAGGGTTCGTGGCAACACCCACGATCCAGACACTGGCATCTCATTGACTACATCATTGTCAGAAAAATAGAACGACCGAGATGACCTCATCACCCGAGCCATGCGTGGCTCAGACCACTGTGACACTGATCATCGGCTCGTCAGAACCAAGAGCTCACTTCACGTCGCCCCAAAACGGCGAAGGTAACAAACCTCCAGAAGAGGTTTCAACACTAAGCATCTGGAGGATCCAGCAGTAGCACATGCTTCCAAAGAGCAGCTCGAACATAGGCTGATAAAAAACCAACAACAAACAAACCAAATCCCAGTGCCGAATGGGGTATTCTCGACACTCTCATGACAAAAAATAAATGACCAGGAAATCAATGTACTCGTCGATGATAAACGTGCTGCTTTAACTGACTGGCAGCACAACCCTCATTCTCGAACCAAAGCCGATACCTTCCTCAAGAAGAAAGGGGCGGCCCAGCACGAACTTCGCAATCTAAAGAATGACTGGCTTAAAAATAAAGCACGTGAGACACAAAAACCTGCAGATCAACACAAGATGTGCGAATTTTTCAAGTCCACTAAAACATATTCTGGGCCAATCACTCATGGAGCAACCCCCGTCCGCTCATCTGACGGTAACTCCCTAATTAAAGACGAAGGCATCCTTCAGCCACACCTCCACCACCCACCCACCTTAACGGTACTACCCTCTCTAATGTTATTCACTTTCAGTACAGTATCTCGGCCCTCACCTGTCTACTACCGCGGACATCGATGAAGAGATTCAACATTGGATCAGATGTGCATCTCAAGCCTTTGGTAGACTTCGTACCAGTGTCTTCAGCTGTAGGGAGCTGAAATTATCTAAAAAGTTACACGTATATCGAGCAGTGGTCCTCCCCACCCTGCTATATGGCAGCGAGACAGGGGTCACATACAGGAGGCACCTCAAGGAACTTGAAAACTTTCACCAACGTAGTCTACATTCCATCAACTGTAGAAGCATCGAGGCTACCATTATCCATGAACAACTACGCTGGACTGGCCATGTTATCTGCATGGACGACAGTAGACTGCCAAAGCAACTACTTTACAGTCACCTTACGAATAGTAAACGTAATGCTGGCGGGCAGCTGAAAAGGTATGAGGATAGTCTAAAGACAAACCTGCAAAAGTGCCAAATCGACCCCTTTACCTGGGAGACGATTGGAGGAGCACCACACGAAAAGGTGTCAATACTTTCGAGTTAGCCCGACTGCATACCGAGGCAGACAAGCGCCAGCGCCGGAAAGACGCTGCCGCCGCCCCTCCCGTATTAGATGTAGCCCTCCACACGTGCAACATTTGTGGAAGACCTTGCCGGTCCCGTATCGGCTTCTTTAATCACCTCAGAGCTCACCAACGAAGGTGACATCCCTATTAACTCATATCATTGTCTCATAGCTGGATGATCGGCATACTCGATTCCGAGTGACAGCAAAGTAGTAGTAGTAGTAGTAGTGTGTGTATGTGTGTTTTTGTCTCACCTCCGCTGTCACGGTGGTAGTGAAGGTGGAAGTATCAAAGAGCCACTGTGTACAGAAGTGCTCCTCCACCAGCCCAGACGGCTCCAACTGTTGCACCACACTACACTCGTCTCTGGACACACAAGGACATTAAGTTAGAGAGAGTCGTGTTGGGAGATAGATAGATAGAGAGAGAGATAGAGTCGTGTTCTACAGTAAGATAAAGAGAGAGAGAGAGATATAGCAAAAGGAAGATAAAGTAAAAAAAAAGCGTAAAACGTAATCAGTCAGTAACATCCGTAACAAAAACATCATAAATGAAAAATATAAATAAATACTAATTAAAAAACTTGGCGATAAAGATTTTGGGATGACGAATATAACGTGAAACTTACTTGGTGATGAGTGTGGTGGTGTGGTAGGTGTTGTTTGAGGCGTCGAAGTCATCATCACCATAGGAAGTGCAGGTATAGTTCACCTTGGGAGCTAGGAAGGCCCCAGCCAGGGTGTGGGGCGATGGTAGTGACACGCCTGAAAATAAGTGAGTGTTCCCCTTACAGTGCAGGCTCGGCAATCTTTTGAACACACTGTGCCTGTTTTTAACATTTCTACTGCTCTGCTTGCCAACTATAATTTTCAATATACAAATTATTGGCATGTGTATATTGATAAATTATGCTTTCATACATATTTGAAAAACACACAATTACATATGAATGGTAAGATATATAATCAAATACTATAATGTGCTCTCATCATTGTGGTGTGATCCCTGTCCCTGCTTCACCTTGCTCAGCGTTGCTCTGTCGGGAGTATATCGGGACACCTTAAGATGCACACACCCCTCGGAATGATCAATTGCAAGTCGGCTGCGATGAGGATTGAGGATATTCTCCTTGTGTGAAAATATCTGCTAACATAGATATGTCGATCCAAAGGGTTGTAGTGGACTTCTCCCCTACAACTGCGTAGCCGCACCACCAGCTGCTACCATCTTCCCTAGCAACGAAACTAGCGGCAAGCGAGCAGCGACAGCAGATGTTACCGTAACCTAGCAACGAACCAAAGACCGGCGACTTTCTCGGGTTTTCCCAACATGACTCATAGAGGACTCACGGCTGCTGGGTATATAAGCTCTGTCTCTCCATTGAGATTCATTCTAGCCTCTCTTCTACAACACGCAACACCTCCTCCTCCGCCGCTGCCTGGCGGCCCTCGCCTCTCCTCCGCCTGCCTGGCGGTCCTCGCTCCCGCCAGCGAGCATGGCGACCCACCAGCTGTCCTTCTCTGAGCTTCCTCACCAACCAACTTTCTCATTCTGGCCATTCTTCCTGAACACGCAACACCTCCTCCAGCAAGCTCCACGCTGTCCAGCTTTCATTCAACCAGGAGGCCAGCAACAGGCAACATCTTCTCTAACGAAGCTCCTGCACATCTACCTCCTTCAACACGCTACTCACTGAACGTCTCTACCGAGCAGCTCCTCACCACACGGCACCTCCAGCACCAGACTGTCTATCATATAACTTATATTATACAAGAAAACCACCTTAGAGTTTCCATCCATCCTGAGTGCTAGACAACATTATACCACGAATATCCTACAGGGTGAAAACAGTGCGAAGGCAACCTTCTACATGCAATCAAATTTCTCTTGTAGGGATGCCCAGCAGCTTAGGATGGAGGCCTCATGATCGCTCACAGTCGTTTCAAGTGATTTACGTAGTTCCGTGAACTTTACTACCCATAATGAAGACGACTTAAAATCGATCAGCTGCATCTCCAGGTCCCCAATTTCCATCCACTCAAATAAGGATTAAGTCCAAGTCACTCTCCTCAAAGTTTTCAGGTTTAACTAAAAGGAAAAACATTGGGCCAATGTGCTGGAAATCTTTAAATCTGACAGAAAACTGACTTCAGTTCTTGCATGTACACTGCAATCTCTGTAACGTTCACAGGATGATATGCTGACCACCCCTTCAGGTGCTTGAAGTAACGGAAAGTTGTAGTTTCAATATCCACCAAGTAAGCTGCCAGCTTTGCAACAAAAGCCTTCCAAGTGCCATACAGATCCACAACTGTTTGTCCTGCACCCTGCAGGAGAGGATTAAGGTCACTGAGGTGTTTGGTGATGTCTGAGAGAAACATAAGTTTCACTACCCATTGGTCATCTTCCAGTTCGGGGTACTTTTGGCCCCTTTCTTTCAGAAAGATCTTGATTTCATCAAAGCATTCCACGAACCGTTCTAAAACCTTCCCTCAACTTAACCACCTAACACTGGAATAAAGGGTATGTCTCCATATGCACTACTCATCTCATCAACAAAAGACTGGAATTGTCTGTGTATAAGAGCAGATCGTACAACCAAAAAATTACAAAATTTTGTCACAGTGGCCATTACTTTATTAAGATCAGAGTTTGAAATTCTGGCGCACAAATTTTCTTGATGAATAATGCAGTGTAACTTCAGAATGGGGTCGCCCGATTTTATCGTCAATTAGCTTGGCAATCCCGTGTTTTCCAGCGGCATCCGTTGTAACTGCAAATATTTGTTTACCCTTAACCCCTCTCTCCTCAAAATGATCAATAAACGTTTTAACAATGTCATTTCCCTTGGTAGTACCATGCATAAGCCTTAGGCAGCACAGCTCCTCGTGTACCTTCGCGTCACTGTACCTGGCGACAATAGCCACACGTGGTATGTCATTTATATCAACACTCATCAACAGCAATACTGAACACAGTTGCATTTGTTAATGCAACAGTTTGCTGTTCTCTTATATTTGTAGCCATGTCTGATATGCGCCTCTCTACAGTCCTGGCTACAACATACATGCCTTTTATACTTGAGATGACTGTGTGTTTATTTGGTAAATCACTAAATAAAACTTGAGAGCTGTTGAAAAATGCCTCCTTTATATAATCCCCATCAATAAATGGTTTCCATGTTTCGCAATACACAGAGAATCTTTGTAGCTGATCTCAGTTGCATGATCTTTGTTTGCATTCAGATTCTTCCTAACGCTGCTTTATTTTTCATAGCAGGATGCTGCCTTCTTAATTGCTTTAGCCTTGTCTGCATTGTCTTTAAATGTCTTCTCATGCTTCGTTTCATAATGTCTCTTTACACTTGATGTCCGGCAAAGAACATTCTCGCAACACAGAGCACACACAGCTCGACCATTCTTTAGGTTTAGAATAAATCCAAAGTCTTTTGTCTAGAGGGTTGAAACGATCGAACGTCTAATTTGGCTTTCTTGGTAGCTGCCATTGTGGCTATTTAATAATGAGTAGCTTCTGTCACCGCGGCTGAAAGTACACTGAAGTTGCCGGGCGATCTGAGTAACCAGTGTTACCACCTAGAAATAGAAACTCCCGCAAAAAAATCAGGTAGATTGAATACTAGTAGAAAGATGATTGTGTAATTTCAATAAAAGTGATGTAGATACATATTACAAATAATAAAACATAGTTATACTCCAATTTCTTAGATATAGAAAATATCCGAGAAAAAGAACACAAGGCGAGCTACCTATTTTGTGTAGCTTCCCCATCTGGTCCCCGAGATATGCTAGGGACTGTCAGTTGGTTGAAAATGTTCAAAGGAGGGCCACCAGACTGGTGCCTGCACTTCGGCACCTCAGCTACCCTGAGAGATTGGAGCGCCTGAACTTGCCTAGCTTATACTACAGACGGGCAAGGGGTGACCTAATAGAGGTGTACGTATAAGCATCTCAAGGGGCACTACTCAGTGGAGTGTCCTTACTTGGAGCTGGCGGACGGTCCCCCACAAGGGGTCACAGCTCAAGATTGAAGAAGCCGCAAATCCAGAAAACTGTGAGGGCAAACTTTTTCGGAGTGAGAGTTGTGAACTCTTGGAACAATCTACCAAAAAGTGTTGTGACGGCACCGAGTGTGAGTTCTTTCAAGACAAGACTTGACCAACACTGCAGCAGGTTCAGGTACATTCAGGAGCCGGTGCATGCCCAGTACTTGCCAACAGTGCGTAACAGACGTGACCGATCGCCCAAGCGGCTAACGAGCCGATCAGTGGTGAACAGGATAAAAGTAAAAGTAAAAGTAAAATGGCAGCACTGTGTCTGACGGGACCCTGCTACAGCTGAGAGGAAGGGTACTGAACGAGTGAGTTCGTGCTCGAACTCACGTCACAGTTTGTTCCTTTGAAATGGCTCTATTATTTGTCGATTTTCTAATATGTTTTTAAAATCACTTAGCGTGCCATGGTCAGCCCTTACGCCTGCCAACTTTGGCACACGTTGCCGAACCCTGCTGAGTAGTGCTTTGTCTCGTTGTTTTTGTTATTGTCCACGTCTCTTACCATAGGCCACAACGAGGAAGTGAAGTAAGTTCCATGGCCCGGTGCCCAGCTGCCGCAACACATCGTCCAATTGTCCAGTCGCCATCACCTGAAAGAGAGAGAGAGAGACTTTGTGAGAGAGAGAGAGAGGGGGGGATCATGGTGTGTGTTAGTAAGAGACAGAGACACAGACGGACAATAAACAAAGGGAATTGTTGATGATATTCTGTCGCCTCCCACATCATCTAACCCCACTGGTGGCGGTGGTGGTGGTGGTGGCGGTGGTGGTGGTGGGTGGTGGTACTGGTGGTGGTGGTGGGCTGGGGTGGTGGTGGTGGCACTGGTGGTGGTGGTGGTGGGGGTGGGGCTGGGGTGGTGGTGGTGGCACTGGTGGTGGTGGTGGGTGGTGGGGTGTGGTGGTGGTGGTGGAGCTGGGGTGGTGGTACTGGTGGTGGTGGTGGTGGTGGTGGGGTGGTGGTGGCGGTGGTGGTGGTGGGGGTGGGTGGGGGTGGGGTGGTACTGGTGGTGGGGTTGGGTGGTGGTGGTGGCACTGGTGGTGGTGGCACTGGTGGTGGTGGTGGTGGGGGTGGGGGTGGTGGGGCAGTGGTGGTGGTGGTGGTGGTGGGGCTGGGGGCAGGTGGTGGCACTGGTGGTGGTGGTGGTGGTGGTGGTGGGTGGTGGTGGGGCTGGAGGTGGTGGTGGTGGCACTGGTGGTGGTGGTGGTGGTGGTGGCTGGTGGTGGACTGGTGGTGGTGGGGCTGGGGTGGTGGTGTGGTGGTGGTGGTGGTGGTGGTGGTGGTGGGTAGGTGGTGGTGGTGGTGGTGGTGGTGGTGGTGGTGGGCTGGGGTGGTGGTGGTGGTGGTGGTGGGTGTGGGTTGGGGTGGTGGTGGTGCTGGTGGTGTGGTGGTGGTGGTGGTGGTGGTGGTGGTGGGCTGAGGGTGGTGGTGGTGGCACTGGTGGTGGTGGTGGTGGTGGTGGTGGTGGGGTTGGGGGTGGTGGTGGGTGGTGGTGGTGGGGAGGTGGTGGCATGGTGGGTGGTAGTGGTGGTGGTGGTGGTGGTGGATGGTGGTGGAGTGGTGGTGGTGGATGGTGGTGGTGGTGGTGGTGGTGGTGGTGGTGGGGTGGGGGTGTGGGTGGTGGACTGGTGGTGGTGGTGGGCTGGTGGTGGTGGTACTGGTGGTGGTGGTGGGTGGTGGGTGGTGGTGGTGGAACTGGTGGTGGTGGTGGTGGGGGTGGGTAGTGGTGGTGGTGGTGGGCTAGTGGTGGTGGTGGCACTGGTGGTGGTGGTGGTGGTGGGTGGTGGTGGGGTGGTGGTGGCTGGTGGTGGTGGTGGGGTGGTGGACTGGTGGTGGTGGGTGGGGTGGCACTGGTGGTGGTGGTGGTGGGTGGGGTGGTGGTGGTGGTGGCACTGGTGGTGGTGGTGGTGGGGTGTGGGGTGTGGTGGTGGCAGTGGTGGTGGTGGTGGGTGGTGGGGCTGGGGGGTGGTGGTGGCACTGGTGGTGGTGGTGGTGGTGGTGGTGGTGGTGGTGGGGTTGGGTGGTGGTGGTGGCACTGGTGGTGGTGGTGGTGGTGGTGGTGGTGGTGGTGGTGGACGTGGTGGGCAGGTGGTGGTGGTGGTGGTGGTGGTGGTGGGCTGGGGTGGTGGTGGTGGTGGTGGTGGTGGTGGGTGGTGGTGGTGGCTGGGGTGGGTGGTGGTGGTGGTGGTGGCAGGTGGTGGTGGTGGGCTGGGGGTGGTGGTGGTGGTGCTCGTGGTGGTGGTGGTGGTGGTGGTGGGTTGGTGGTGGTGGCACTGGTGGTGGTGGGTGGTGGTGGTGGTGGGCTGGGGGTGGTGGTGGTGGTGGTGGTGGGTTGGGGGTGGTGGCACTGGTGGTGGTGGTAGTGGTGGTGGTGGTGGGCGTGGTGGACTGGTGGTGGTGGTGGGGCTGGTTTGGTGGTGGTGGGTGGTGGTGGTGGTGGTGGTGGGTTGGGGGTGGTGGTGGTGATACTGGTGGTGGTGGTGGTGGTGGTGGTGGTGGTGGTGGTGGGTGGTGGTGGTGGTACTGGTGGTGGTGGTGTGGGGTTGGGGATGGTGGTACTGGTGGTGATAGTGGTGGTGGGCGTGGTGGTACTGGTGGTGGTGGGGTTGTGGGTGGTTATACTGGTGGTGATGGTGAGTGGTGGTGGTGGTGGGGTTGGGGATGGTGGTACTGCTGGTGGTGGTGGTAGTGGTGGTGGCGGTGGTGGTGGTGGTACTGGTGGTGTTGGTGGTGGTGGGGTTGGTGGTGGTGGTGGTGGTGGTGTGGTGGGGTTGGGGGTGTGGTACTGGTGGTGGTGGTGGTGGGGTTGGGGGTGGTGGTACTGGTGGTGGTGGTACTGGTGGTGGTGGTGGTGGGCGTGGTGGTACTTGCTGGTGGTGGTGGGGTTGGGGTGGTGGTGGTGGTACTGGTGGTGGTGGTGGTGGTGGTGGTGGTGGTGGTGGTGGGGTTAGAGTGGTGGTGGGGTGGTACTGGTGGTGGTGGTAGTGGTGGTGGTGGTGGTGGTGGTGGTGGTGGTGGTACTGAGGTGGTGGTGGTGGTGGGGTTGGGGATGGTGGTACTGGTGGTGGTGGTGATAGTGGTGGTGGGCGTGGTGGTACTGGTGGTGGTGGGGTTGTGGGTGGTTGTACTGGTGGTGATGGTGGTGGTGGTGGTGGTGGGGTTGGGGATGGTGGTACTGGTGGTGGTGGTACTGGTGGTGGTGGTGGGCGTGATGGTACTGGTGGTGGTGGTGGTGGTGGGGTTGGGGGTGAGGTGGTGGTGGTGGTGGTGGTGGGGTTGGGGTGGTGGTACTGGTGGTGGTGGTGGGTGGGGTTAGGTGGTGGTACTGGTGGTGGGTGGTACTGGTGGTGGTGGTGGTGGGCGTGATGGTACTGGTGGTGGTGGTGGTGGGGGTTGGGGTGGTGGTACTGGTGGTGGTACTGTTGGTAGGTGGTGGTGGTGGTGGTGGTTGTACTGGTGGTGGTGGTGGTAGTAGTAGTGGTAATGGTGTGTAAATAAATGGTGGCGAAGGTGTGCTTTGGGGAGGCTGGAGGCCATGAATAATATAAGTGGTAATGAATTGTTACTAATTGGTGGTAATAATGGTAGTAGTAATTGGTAATGGTGTTACTAATTGGTGGTAATAATGGTAGTAGTAGTGGTAATGGTGTTACTAGTTAATTGGTAATAATGGTAGTAGTAGTGGTAATGGTGTTACTAATTAGTTGGTAATAATGGTAGTAGTAGTGGTAATGGTGTTACTAGTGGTGGTAATAATGGTAGTAGTAATTAGTAATGGTGTTACTAATAGTGGTGGTAATAATGGTAGTAGTAGTGGTAATAGTGTTACTAGTGTTGGTAATAATGGTAGTAGTAGTGGTAATGGTGTTACTAATTGGTGAGTAATATAAGGTAGTAGTAAGTGGTAATGGTGTTACTAATTGGTGGTAATAATGGTGAGTAGTAGTGGTAATAGTGTTCCTGGTGGTGGTAATAATGGTGTAGTAGTGGTAATAGTTGATTTACTGGTGGTGGTAATAATGGTAGTAGTGAAGATTGGTGATAGTTGTTACTAATTGGTGGTAATAATGGTAGTAGTAGTGGTAATAGGTGTTACTAATTAATTGGTAATAATGGTAGTGGTAATTGGTAATAGGTGTTACTAGTGGGTGGTAATAATGGTAGTAGTGAAGTGGTAATTGTTACTAGTTAGTTGATAATAATGGTAGTAGTAATTAGTAATAATTGGTAGTGAATTGGTAATAGTGGTAGTAGTAGTGGTAATGGTGTTACTAATTGTGGTAATAATGGTAGTAGTAATTAGTAATAGTGTTACTAATTAATTGGTAATAATAATTAGTAGTAGTGGTAATGGTGTTACTAGTGGTGGTAATAATTGGTAGTAGTAGTGGTAATAGTTGTTACTAGTGTTGGTAAATAATGGTGGTATTAATTGGTATTAGTTGATTGCTAATGTTGGTAATAATGGTAGTAATGAGTGGTAGTAGTTGTTGCTAACAGTTGGTAATAGTGGTAGTAGTAATTGTTATTAGTTAATTTACTAGTGTAGTTGGTAATAGTGGTGAGTAGTAGTGGTAGTAAGTTGTTACTAGTGGTGGTAATAATGGTGAGTGGTAGTGGTAATGGTGTTACTAATTGAATTGGTAATAATGGTAGTAGTAATTGGTAATGGTGTTACTAGTGGTGGTAATAATGGTAGTAGTAGTGGTAATGGTGTTACTAGTGATGGTAATAATGGTAGTAAGTAGTAATGGTGTTATTAGTGGTGGTAATAATTGGTAGTAGTAGTGGTAATGGTGTTACTTATTAGTTGGTAATAGTGGTAGTAGTAAGTGGTTAGCAACAAGACACACACTGTACCTCACCTCACAGGAAGACCGTGGTTTATACTGACACTCCCACACAATGCACCGTGTCTCACAACCTCCTCCTCCTCCTCCTTCCTTGCCTCCCTCCTTCTCTCCTCCCTCCTTCCTCAAATTCACTTGCCCTCCATGGTAACAGTCAGCTAACCTCCTGCCACACACACACACACACACACACACACACACACACACACACACACACACACACAGAGGAGAGGTACCAGTATTAATGAAAATTCAAGGGGTGAGGTGGGTGAGAGGATACAGAACCCGCCTCGTGTCTTAAAACTACCTTGAAGTTATCTTAGCAGCATCGGCTGTACTTTGATTCACTGAAGCTTACAGGACCAACCCACCATTAAGTCAATGACGTCACTCCTTACACCCCCACGACAGCTCCCCATGTCACCCCCACACGACAGCTGTCCACGTCCCCCCACACGACAGCTGTCCACGTCACCCCACGACAGCTGCCCGTCACCCCACGACAGCTCCCATGTCACCCCACGACAGCTGCCCACGTCACCCCACACGACTGCTGCCCACGTCACCCCCACACGACAGCTCCCCACGTCACCCCCCACACGACAGCTCTCCATGTCACCCCACACGGCAGCAGCTCCCACGTCACCCACAGCTCCCGTTACCTACACAAATTACGCAATTGCTGGACCTCATCCTGAAGTAATGGTGTAACGAGAAAATCATAATGGACAGACACACTTCACCATAATG